CCCCAATAAGGTTAGCTACTGACTTCTCAATAGAAACACTTGAAGCAAGAAGAGAATGGCAAGAAATATTCCAAGTAATGAGAACCAGAGGCCTACGACCAAGGCTACTTTACCCAGCAAGGCTCTCAATCAAGATAGATGGCCAAATAAAGAGCTTCTAAGACAAAAGAAGCCTAAAAGAATACGCCTCCACCAAACCAGCTCTACAAGAAATACTAAAAGGACTGCTTTAAGGGAAGGAAGGATAAGAGGGAGACAGAGAGGAACACAGGTACAAAAATGGCAATGAATAAGTACCTATCAATAATAACCTTAAACGTAAATGGATTAAATGCTCCAATCAAAAGACACAGAATAGCTCAATGGATAAGAAAGCATGACCCACACATATGCTGCCTACAAGAGACCCACCTTAGGAAAAAAGACCATCACAGACTAAAAGTGAAAGGCTGGAAACAAGTTTTCCAAGCAAATGGACAAGAAAAAAAAGCTGGGGTAGCAATTCTCATAGCGGACAAAATAGAATTTTAAAAAAAAAGGCCATAAAGAGAGACCCAGAAGGTCACTTCATTATACTTAAGGGAAGAATCCACCAAGAAGACATTAACATTGTAAACATATATGCACCAAACATAGGGGCACCCAAATATATCAAGAAAATCTTAGAGGACTTCAAGAAAGATATAGACAGCAACACAATTATAGTAGGGGATTTTAACACCCCACTATCAAAAATGGACAGATCTTCCAAACAAAATATCAACAAAGATATTGTGGCATTAAAAAACACCCTAGATGAAATGGACTTAACTGATATATATAGAGCCCTTCATCCCAAAGAAGCTAAATACACATTCTTTTCAAATGCACATGGAACATTTTCAAAGATAGACTACATGATAGGACAAAAGACGAGCCTCAAAAAATTCAAGAAAATTGAAATCATACCAAGCATCTTCTCTGACCACAAGGGACTGAAATTGGAAACCAACCCCAAAGGAAAAAACCCAAAGCAACCAAAAACATGGAGACTGAATGGTATGCTATTAAACAACGAATGGGTGAAAAATGAAATTAGGGAAGAAATCAAAAAGTTTCTGGAAACAAATGAAAACGATCTCACAACAACCCAAAACTTATGGGACACAGCAAAGGCAGTCGTGAGAGGGAAGTTTATAGCATACAGGCCTACCTAAAGAAGATAGAAACATTTCAAACAAACAACCTAACCCTACGCCTGCAAGAACTCCAGGAACAACAACAAAGACAGCCCAGAGCAAGCAGAAGGAAGGAAATAACCAAGATTAGAGCAGAATTAAATGACATAGAAACTAAAAGCACAATTGTAAGGATCAATGAATCCAGGAGTTGGTTCTTTGAGAAGATAAACAAAATAGACAAGCCTTTAAGTAGGCTCATCAAGAAAAGAAGAGAGAGGACACAAATAAACACAATCAGAAATGAAAGAGGGTAGATTACAACTGATACCACAGAAATAAAAGGGATTGTAAGAAATTACTATGAAGAACTGTATGCCAAGAAATTTGAAAACCTAGGGGAAATGGACACATTTCTAGAAAAATACAATCTTCCAAAACTCAGTGAAAAAGAAGCAGAAAATCTAAATACACCAATAACAGCAAAAGAAATTGAAGCAGTAATCAAAAAACTTCCATCACACAAAAGCCCCAGACCACATGGTTTCACAGGAGAATTCTACAAAGCATTTAAGGAAGAGCTAACCCCTATTCTCCACAGACTATTTCAAAAAATCCAGAAGGATGGAAAACTCCCAAATTCTTTTGATGAAGCCAGCATCATCTGAATTCCAAAACCAGACAGAGACAAAACAAAGAAAGAAAACCAGGCCAATATCGCTGATGAACATAGATGCTAAAATCCTCAACAAAATATTGGCAAATCGCATCCAACAATATATCAAAAAGATCATACACCATGATCAAGTGGGATTCATCCCAGGGATGCAAGGATGGTTCAATATTCGCAAATCAGTAAATGTAATACATCACATAAACAAAAGCAAAGACCAAAATCACATGATCATATCAATAGATGCGGAAAAAGCTTTCGATAAGCTACAACACCCATTTATGATAAAAACACTTAGCAAAGTGGGAATACAGGGAGCATTTCTCAAAATAATAAAGGCCATATATGAGAGACCTACAGCCAATATCATACTCAATGGGAAAAAACTAAAAGCTTTTCCACTAAGATCAGGAACAAGACAAGGTTGTCCACTTTCACCACTTCTATTCAATATAGTATTAGAAGTTTTAGCCACAGCGATCAGGCAAGAAAAGGAAATAAAAGGCATCCAAATAGGAAAGGAGGAAGCAAAACTGTCACTGTTTGCAGATGACATGATAGTGTACATGGAAAATCCTATAGACTCTACCCAAAAACTGCTCAAACTAATTAATGAGTTTGGCAAAACAGCTGGTTACAAAGTCAATATCCAGAAATCAAAGGCATTTTTGTATACCAACAGTGAATCAGCAGAAGCAGAAATAAAGAAAAAAATCCCATTTGATATAGCAAAAAGAAAAATAAAATATCTGGGAAGAAACCTAACTAAGGAGGTAAAAAACCTGTATGCAGAAAACTACACAGCCCTGAAGAATGAAATCAAGGAAGGCACAAACAAATGGAAACATATACCTTGTTCATGGATTGGAAGAATTAACATCATCAAAATGTCCATACTACCCAAAGCAATATACAGATTCAATGCAATACCTATTAAAGTACCAATGGCATATTTCACAGACATAGAACAAACACTTCGAAAATTTATATGGAACCATAAATGAGCCCGAATAGCAGCTGCTCTTTTGACGAAGAAGAACAAAGTAGGGGGGATCACAATACCTGATATCAAACTGTATTACAAAGCCACTGTAATCAAAACAGCCTGGTACTGGCATAAAAACAGGCACATAGACCAACGGAACAGAACAGAGAGCCCAGAAATCAACCCAACTCTCTACAGTCAATTAATATTCGACAAAGGGGGCAGTAACATCAAATGGAGTAAAGATAGCCTCTTCAACAAATGGTGTTGGGAGAACTGGACAGCTACGTGCAAAAAAATGAAACTTGAGCACCAACTTACACCATACACAAAAATAAATTCAAGGTGGATAAAAGACTTAAATATAAGCCATGACACCATTAAAGTTCTAGAGGAGAACATTGGCAAGAAAATCTCAGATATTTCACGCAGCAACTTCTTTACTGATATGTCCCCTAGAGCAAGGAATGTAAAGGAAAGAATAAAGAAATGGGATCTCATCAAAATAAAAAGCTTCTGCGTGGCTAAAGAAAACAGTATTAAATTAGCAAGACAACCAACTGTATGGGAAAGCATATTTGCCAATGATACCTCAGACAAAGGTTTAATCTCCAAAATATACAAAGAACTTACATGACTCCACTCTAAGAAGACACCCAACCCAATTAAAAAATGGGGAAAGGACTTGAACAAACACTTCTCCAAGGAGGACATACAGAACATTCAGGGACACATGAAGAGATGCTCAATATCGTTAGCTATCAGAGAGATGCAAATTAAAACCACAATGAGATACCACTTTAAACCAGTCAGGATGGCTATCATAAACAAAGCAACAATCAACAAATGTTGGAGAGGTTGTGGGGAAAAGGGGTCCTTAGTTCACTGTTGCTCGGATTGCAGACTGGTACAACCATTATGGAAAACAGTATGGAATTTTCTCAGAAAAATAAAAATCGACCTGCCTTTTGACCCAGCAATTCCACTGCTAGGATTATATCCTAAGAATCCTAAAACATCAATATCAAAGAACCTATGCACCACAATGTTCATAGCAGCACAATTTACAATAGCCAAGAGTTGGAAACAACCTAGGTGCCAGTCAGTAAATGAATGGATCCAAAAATTGTGGTACATATACACAATGGAATTCTATGCTGCAGAGAGGAAGAAGGAACTACTACCCTTTGCAACAACATGGATGGAACTGGAAAGCATTATGCTGAGTGAAATAGGCCAGGTGCTGAAAGAAAAATACCATATGACCTCACCTTTAACAGGAAGCTAAACAACAAAAGAAATAAGCAAGAAGACAAAAAAAGAAAGACACTGAAGTAGAGAACAAGGGGATAGTGACCAGAGAGGAGAAGGAAGGGAAGTTAAGGGGAAAAGGGGGGAGGGATTTGGAGGAACAAATAGGAAGGAAACAGGGACGAGAACTAAGGGGGGGTGGAAATGGGAGGGAGGTGGGGAGCAAGGGGCGGGGGAGGCTGGGATGGGAAAAATAGACAAAAAACTGTACTTGAAAAATAACTAAATAAGCCCTGGCTGGTGTAGCTCAGTGGATTGAGCACGGGCCTGTGAATCAGAGGATTGCAGTTCGATTCCCAGTCAGGGCACATGCCTGGGTTGCAGACAGGTTTCCTGCAGGCCAGTTCCCTGAAGGGGATGCACTAGAGGCAACCATACATTGATGTTTCTCTCCCTCTCTCCTTCCCCTCTAAAGATAAATAAATAAAATTTAAAAAAAAAGAAAAATAACTAAATAAAATTAATTATTTAAAAAAAAATCTCTGACCTCTTAGGAAGCCATCACCATATTTTAGGCTAGACACTTGGCCTTCTCTAGTCTTCCTGGCTTCCTGAATGTGGAGATTGCCCTGTCTGAGCAGTCACTGAACATTATAAAAGGACAATAGATGTCTACCGGTAAACTTGAACCCTGTCTGCTTAGCAGTAGAAGAGGGACTCATCACCCAGCAGTTGGGTGATGGCACCACTTGCAGTCTGAAAACATACAGTTAGATACTGAGTGGGCAGGCATCAGAAACTTTTCACCCATTCTGTGGTCCAATATAAAGGCATACCCAGGAAGCTAGTACACACGCACTCAGAACAGACATACTTGCCCCTTTCGGGTCTTCTTGGGATTAGTGCAGGGAAAATTCCCAAGCACAGCACTCACCACAATCCAGGACTGCACAAAAGAGTGGTACTGTCGTACATGCACACTCTTGGGGTGGCAGGAAGACAAAGACTCTTGAAGTGTGCTCAAGATCATACATAGAGTGGTTGGTGTCACCAGCTGGTGCATGATGTCTCCACTTGCAGTCTGAAAGGGAACAGTTGGGTACTGAGAGGGAAGGCACCAGGAATCTTTCACCCATTCTGTCAGCCACAGAAAGTCAGACCAAGCACACTACTACACACTCTATCCTGACATGGGGAGAATGTTCTCAGTCTCACTGGTGAATTCACAGCACTAGTTATCATGACCACCTCTCACAAAAGTGAAAAGCTGAAGCACTCTAGCAAATTACGGTCGTTATACCATAACAGGAGATCACATGAGGACACAGCTACTAATCTGCCCATTGCACAAAGGTTTCCTATGGTCTGCGAAGGGAAAGTGTACAGGAAATGCCCATCATTTTATTTTGTCCCCATTTTGCTGTATCATGCCCTCTTCCTTCTAGAGTGGTGATGTGGACAGGTGGTGCCTTACAAGGACAGGGGACATGTCTACTGCAGCTGAAAGTTGGAACTGATAGACAAAACAAAAACTAAAGCAAAGTATAAACGTACATGTTCTACAGTAAAGTGGAACATGCATCTTTTTCTACTATTGGTTGCAATACGTGAGGAGTGTCATTTTCCTGTCCCATGAAGCTGGTGGAAGAAGTGGACGTGTAGAGTGTCATCTGCATGTGATTGTTTGTCAGTGTATGAAAAGCACTGGGAGTGCTGTTAGGAAGCCATTCTCATATTTAAGCCTAGTCCTTGGTCCTCTCAGGTCTCCTTTCATTCCTTGATCTGGAGAATACCCAGCATAGCTCTCAACTTAAGTCCACCTCTGGATGGACAGTGTGGTACTGCTGCATGTCACCCTTTCCGAGTAGTAGTAATAAATGGAAGGGTACATTGAGCAGCTGGTGGATGATATTACTACTAGTAGTCTTAAAAAGTACCGTCGGGTACTGACAGGCTAGGCATCAGGGACCTTCCAAGAATCTCTGCTCCCAGCTGACAGCATACCACACAACGGTGTCAACAGTCTATTAGCACAGAGGGAGAATTTGTCTAGTAGCATTCCTGAAATCAGTGCAAAATGGTATCCTGTCTGCATCTATCAACAGTGAAATGCTGAGTCGCACTGTGAAATTACCATCTTTGTTTGATAACATGGACATGAATAAGGCACAGCTACTAAACTTTCAGATTATAATGATTTTCTATGGTCTTTGAAGGGAACAATCCAACATTTTGCTTTCAAAATGGTTTCCATGCTCTGTGAAATGTCAATAGACAGACAATTATGTCAAATATGTTAATGCATCCTATGTTTTTTGGGGTTTTTTTTGCTTATTAGAAATCACCTCTCTGTATGATGTTGAGCACACTTGAAAAAGTTCAAGGCCAGTTCATCTTCTACTCATCAAAATACGTGTTACATTTAGTTACACAATTGAAAGGATCAAAACGGAAGAAGGAAGATGGGTTTTCTCTTTGTTTTAACCTATGTGAGGCAAGGACTTCTATCATACAGCAACTTATTTAGTAGGTTTGGGGTACAGAATGTGTAGAACGTGGGAGTGGGAATGTGAAAACCTTCAGGACCTACGTTTGAGTCTTGATCATGATCCCACTTCTGTCATTTCAGGGCTCTTGGACTGTCTGTCTCTCAGCTCAGACCTATAAGGGCTGGTATCCCCAGCCTGCTACACTTGTGCCTTTTACTAGCTGATGGCATCATTGAACCCATCAGCCAACTGTGCTATGAAGGCCTCCTTGGACTTCTGCAAAGACTGAGCCCTTTACTGCCCTAGGTGACATTGCGGGTCTGTCTGGCCATTGCCTCTGATTCCCACCACAAATTTTGTTCCCCACGCCAGGCAGTCCTTAAGTAACTAATTATGATTAAGTGAATTCAGTGATGTGGGTCTCACACGCATACGACCAGTGTCCCAAGAGGGACAGGGGACTACATATAGAAGCACAAAACAAATTCTGTGTCACAACATTAGAAGGTGGCCATGTATATAAGCAAGGGAAGGAAGCCTGAAAAGACAGGAGCCCTGAGACACTCTCAATTCTAACAGTTTCTGGAATCGTCAAAAATCCAGTGTCTACTCTATACACCACCCAGTGGGGTCCTATGTTATGGCAACACCAGAAAACTTTTACATCATTGGGACATTCTTATGAATTTTCTGTAGCACTGATGAAATGGAACCTGAAGTCGATCACACAGCATGTCACCCAGCAGTGAGAACCTGCATCACTGCGGTAAATGACTTGCATTGTTGGAGAATGTCTGCAAGGACTGCACCTGACTGTTCAGCAGTATGTCGGGACAGCTAGCTTAAAGCAAAATGCAAAAGAACCAAACAAGAAAGGTAAAGAAAAAATATGCTTGTTGTGTACCCTAAAATAAAAGAACATAGTTTCCTAATATGTTTATTCATACCGTATTTTCTTTCTACAGCACTTGAAACTGCAGGGGAAGTGAATGTCCAAGGGGTTTTTATACTTGGCCTGTTGGACAGTGTAGAGAAAATCATTGAAGGTCCCTGGGGGAGCCCTTATACTGAGTCGGCTCTGGGGCACTGGAATATAACCTTCTTGTCATGAGTATGGAACCCATCCGGGCTAGGTCTCACCTCAGGGAGGCACTGTCTGCTGTCATTGGCCTCATGCATCTTCCACTTCTCCGACAAAGAAGAGTAATTCAACTCATTCACCAACGCCATCAAGATGTGACTGTCACAAAGATGTCTGCATCCAGGCTTCTGGGAGTTCTTCAGACCAGGACTACCAAGGGCTAGGCCTCTGGCTGACACAGGCACTAGCCCTTGAGCAAGTCCTTCCTGTAACTCTGCAGTGAGTCTCAGCTCTGCAGGTGGCTCTGGAGCATCAGAAAGAAACAGATTTAAACACATACCTGGTTTTCACTTGCCTTTCCAGGGATAGGAATGTTCTTGGTGCCTTTTAGGGAAGTCCTGCCCATGAAAAAACCTGTCCTAGATCATCATCCCGACCTGCAGCTCCCTCACCTTCTGCTCTTACATCCTGGGGCTCGGGATATTCCAGATCCACACAAAGAAGGTGGGCCTCCCACAAGGCCAGCTTCAGATGCAAGGACAAACGTAGGGGCTCTCCGAACTCCTGGACCTGGACTGGCCAGGGGCCCATTGGAGGAGACTTTGCCCTGAGGAGATACAGTTGGGCAGCAGAGTTAGGGTCTGCAATCCTATTTCAATGCACCATCCCAGGGCAGTCTTGTTTGGGACGGGCCTTTGTTCATGCCCATGTCCAATCAGGGAACACCCTGATGCCAACCTCGACCCCTGTGTGGATGACTTTAGAGGATCAGGCCTGGGAATGCAGCAGGCTTGTCATGGAGACCCTGTGAGTCTCTTCTTTCCAATGGCATTTCTCCTCAAGGTCTATACACTGCCTACCCCTACACTTGATGCACATGCTCATCTACACTGAACTTAGCAGGAGATTGCTGAGTAAGCTATGATCACATCTCCTGTATAGAGTCTGGGATGGTGGTGGGGAGAGTTGACTCTGGGGAGAGGCAGGCTGAGTGGGAGTAGAATGTGATGGGGTTTGGCCCCTAAGGCAACATGCAGCCTACGTTCCTTCTGGTTGTATGAAGGCAGGGACCCCATCCAACATTCTCTTAATTCTGTCCTCTGGGGATAGAAGCCACTAGAGTACAGGTCTGCCTTTGAAATCACATCTAGAATATGTCCTTGGTGGAAGAACCTCCCTGCCTAAGCCAGTGTGCTCCCAAATAAGGAAGACCTTTCTTCCTACACCCAACTTTGTATTTCATACCTTGAACCACGTCCATTCGCATTATTATTCAGTAGGGCTAGAGGCGTCCCTACGATGCTGATTGTATCAGAACCAATGGTTGAAGGACAGGACCTGAAAAACATACTGATTATGACTGATTGATTAACTGAGTAGAACTGAGGCTCTGGGTTTGTGTTTGCTTCATTCTTTGAGTTATGCTTAATGCTTCTAATGAGACCTACTTGTACTTGGTACTTCGTACAAATGGTGGAATAAATGAAGTCCAACCAGAACCATCCCAAATATCTCAGTTGGCCTGGATTCTCCTGCTAACTCCAGAGATTCCTAATGTTGCAATATCAAAGATAAGTGCAAGTATCCATGAAATATTTTTCCTAACATCTTGACCGATAGTTTTCCACTTGCTTTTCCAAGCTCAGAAATGACAATGTGCATGATGGATGATGCAGGAGACTTTCACGGGTGGACAGAAAAAGAAATTGGCATGAACTGCCACAGCACATCCAGAAGCCCTTCTGCACGGACAGGTGCCAGGTGAAACGTATTTGGATTCTTCCCTCCATAGTCCCTGTGACAATATTATGAGGTTTGTCCTCTGTCACCCCACATTTCAAAGAACTGCCTCGGGCATAGGGAGATGTGCTGACATTTCTATGGCACTCTGATTGCAGCAGGCAGAATAAGAGCTGTGCAGAAGAGATGGCACTTGCTCACCAAGTCAGCAGATCATCCAGGAGCACTAGGTCTCGGCAGAAGGATGGCTGCAGGGTCCTGAAGGTAGACAGGTGGGAGAAGTTTCTACCCTTCATAGCTGGAGACATGAACTCCGCCAATGTCTTCATTATGCCTCCCTGGAGGGCCCGCAGTCTGCAGGGTTCTGTCAATTTCAGTGTCAACACAGATGCACCCTGTGTGGGACCAGGACAGTCATCTACTCAGTGTCATCATTATGAATCAGTGGAAAGGAATGAGGTATGGTGTTCATCCAAAACTGGCAGGACCATCAGGGACTTGTGCAAGACTAGAGTGAGGAGTACCCCTACTAAATAAGATTTTACCAAGTTGTTTTAAAAAGAGAAGATTTCAACAGAAGAAGGGAAGTGTTTGCATGAAAAGTAATAAAGGACACATGGACAATAACAAGGTGGGGTGGAAAAGGAAGGGACGTAGGAGGGTCTGTAGGTTGGCTAGGATGGGGGTAAAGGCAGAAAAGTGTACTTGAACAATTCAAATTATAAAGGGCTGTAAAACATATTTCAAAAATGTACTATCAATTTTTAGTGGAATATGGGTATTGATTTACTATTTTCTTACTTTTTTAGATGAGGAGTGACAGACTTCCATAGTCAGCATCTTAAGAAGAGCTTTCTACCCAGGAAACAGCAAGCTGCCCATTATTACAAAGAAATCACACAGCCTCGTGCATGTCAAATAGCTGGTGAATGGCATGCAGGTTAGAAGTGAGAACTGCCCAAAGCTAGTGATGCCTGGCATTTCCTCCTAGCTACCTGAGACGCATCTGTTCCTGACGTGGGCGGAAGTGGTGGGGAAACACCATGTCTCCCTATGTGGGAAGTGTGCATGATGGACACACACAGCCTATGAAAACCAGTGATTTCCAAGACAACATTTCTTTTCCTCCCTCGCACATTAAAACTCACTTTGGGATGCAGAAACAGCATTGGGACAAGTGCCTGGTGACACCTGACTGGAGAAAGCTGGTCACCAGGCAGGACTCAGAGTCTGACTCACGTAGGTCCCATTTCTGTGGATGGAGCCACGCTGACAGGTGAGTGAAAGTGTGCTGGGGAAAGAGCAAAACCAAGGCATACCGGGAATGCCACAGACACATTATAACCAGATTGGTAATGTTTTCCTTCCTTTCTTTTTAAATTCTTGTTCAGTTACAGTTGTCCCTATTGTCCCCACATTGCTCTAAAGAACAACGAATGAGAAACACTCACGGGGTGCAAGGGAGCAGCCTTTATCACAAAAGTTCTGTAGGCACTGTAACACTAGTTTTCCTTTCGGAATCTGGACGTGGTCACTAAAAGTTTACGTGCACCTGTCCTTTCAGCTGAGGACGGTGCAGGTAAACATTGAGGGCTTAAGAGTATCACCCAACTTCCACGTCTGTGGAAGCCCTGGAGCTTCAAAATATGCCTCTGAGTATGAACTGAGGGGGAAATGTTAAGGTGGAAAGAGTTCAGTGATGTGAGACTTAGTGCAATATGACCAGTGCCCTTAGAAGAGGGGAGGAGACAAGGAGGCACAGGCTGGATTGCATGTGACACAGAGTCAGGGACAGCCATGTATGAACTTGGGAGAACATTTCTAAAGGAACTCGCCAGGCCCAAAGCCCCACTTCTAGCTTTTAGTCTCTGAAATTGTGAAAAATTAAGTGTCTCCCCTTGACATCACCCAGGGGGTCCTATGTTATGGCATCCTCAGCAATACTCCAGACCCTTGGGACACACTGAAGTGATCTGGTGGACTGCTGACATGGCATCTGAGGTGAAGGACACCATGTCTACCAGCACTGACAGGCTGCAGAGCTGTGGCAAACACCCTCCATTATTGCAGACTGTCTTCAATGACTGTTGTACTCACTGCTCTGCATGATAAGTGGTCAGGTAATTTTTTAAAACAATGAGAAAAGATTAAGATAAATACAAATATGCTTGTTGCGTACCATGACAAAAAGATCTTTCCGAGTATTCTGATTACAAGTATTTTGCTTCTAGTCTCCCTTCTAGGTGGCGGGAGAAAATGAAGTCCATATTCCTGTGTATCCCACTGGCTGTGGGTCAGTGTCAGGAATGCCACTGGGTGCCCCTGCGGGAGTCCCCAAATTTAGCCTACTCCTGGGCACCTGAATGTCACCTAATGGTCATGGATGTAGAGTCTCTCCTGACCCAGTTCTCACCTCAGGGAAACATATGCTGGCATCAGTGGACCAAAGCACCTTGCCCTTGTCTAGTGCAGTAGAATAGTTAAATCCATTGACAAGCTCTTCCAAGATGTCTTCATTCAAACTCTACAAAGACAAATCCCGTATCGGGGCAGTAAGCATCAGAAACCTCCAAGCAACCTGCGCATCTGTCTTAAGGCTGCCCTGCCAAGGCTCTACATTCTAGTGTGACACAGTGAGGACATTCCTGGATGCCCTGATGAAGGAGATGCAGAACTGAATCATGTCAAAGTCCAAAGTCAGTGAATGGCTGACTGAGGAAACAACCTTCTTTATGAGATAGTACAGATGCAAATGGGGTCAAATTGTTTAAATTGACCAATTACCATGCCTTTTCCTGCTCTGTGAACTGAAAAGGTGCAGAGGAATGATCCTATATTTGACTTTGTCACTTTTGTGTACAAAACCTTCAATCCAGTATGATGATGGGTAAGACCTGGAGGCCTGCAAGGACAGTAGAGCTGACTACTCAACCAGAATTCTGGGGCTGCTAGGAAAATCAATGAAAAGTGCAAAATGCTCATGTTCACCATCTCTGCTCTGAAGTGTAACATTTTTTATGCACATTCTCACAAACATGTCAGGAAATGTCTTTTTCCTGATTTATATAGCTGGTGGGAGAAGGGGAGGTCCAGATTCTTCTGTGCATGGGATAGTGGGACACTTTAGAAAGAGCACTGGGAGGGCCATGAGGCAACCATCCTCATATTTGAGCTTATATGCTAGGTCCCCACATGTCACCTCAGGTTCCTGGGGGTGCAGAGTCCCTGGGCCAGCTCTCACCTGAGCCTGTTGATGGTTGGTGATGTAGGTCTGGTGCACCTGTACCTTTACCTTGTAGATGTTATGGTCCTTCTCGTGCACTAGCTCCTCAAGTATGTCATCATGGGAGCTCTGCAAAGACACAGCCATGTATTGAGCCAGGAGTCCTCAGTAATGATCCACACAAAATGCATTCCCGTGTAATGAAGACCTAGCAAACTAGTGTACAGTCTATGAGTTTATAAGGAGACAGTGAGGCTGTTTCTACTCACACTGCTGAAATCACAGCAGAATGGCATCATGTCAAGGTCTAACAAGAAAATCACTGAGAAAAATTACCTTCTTTACAGGGTAATATGGACATGTATGAGGCCACAGCTGCTGAGCTGCCTGACTTAAAATGGTTTGTGTGTTCTGTGAGACCCAAAGTTGCAGACAAATAGTAACACATATGTAAATCCCTCCCGTGTTGGTTTCTTTGTGGTCTTAGAAAATCACCCTCTCTGTGTTGTGACATGAAGATGATCAAGGAGAGAAGAGGTGATGGCTCCACAAGGTACATTTTACACGAAGGTAAATAGTCAAAACAAGTATAATGGAACAGCAAGATTTCTCTATGATTTTACAAATGTGAAGAATGGCTTTCTGCCCTACCAGAAACCTGGTAGTAGGATTGCAGGTACAGAGTCATTTGGGAGTGGGCATGTGAAATCCTCAAAGCCCCACGTTTGATTCTAGGTTATGATTTCACCGCATTCACCTCAGGGCCCTGGGAGTGGGACAGCTCTCACCTCAGCCCGGCACTGCATGGTGTTCCTGGCCTGGGGCACTGGTCTACTGTACAGACCAATGGCATAAGAGAAGCCATCAGCCAGCTCTACGATGTCCTCCTTGGACTTCTGCAAACACCAAGCCCAGGAAATGGTCAGCTGTTAGCAGGGACCTGTCTACACCTTGCCACTGGAGCATGTTCCCACCACAATGTCTGTTCCCCACACCAGGCAAGCACAGAGAAGCACCTGAAAACACCTCCAGTCTGGGAAGAACTAAAATGACACCTTGAGGTCCCAGCGAGAACAGGACTTGTTGTTTCCAACACTCACCTTCCCACCTTACCTGCCATGACCTGCGGTATGACTTTGACAGTCCCTTCAAGTTTCTAGCAACTAACAAGCGTCTTGTACCAAGCATGAGCACTCTTTATCCAGAGTCCCTCCCCTCCTCCAACACACACACACATATATGTAAGAAGAGTGGCAAGTGGTGGGATGTAGCCCAAGTGGGATCCCAGTGCTAGCCTGGCGTGAAAGTACTAGCCCTTCATACCCAACATTACCTGAGGGTGTATCCTGCCAAGTGGTGGGAGGTGGTGATGACGCCTGCCCTTGCGCCACCATCTAAAGCATGAGAAACTTTTCTCACTATCAACTTTCTTTGGCCTAGAGCCTCGAAAAACAGGGAAACAACAAACAGGCATCCCAGCCTCTTGACTGTCTACAGTCAACTGTCCTGGATGGGCAGTTGTCTCTAGAATAGGGTTGCCTAGTTACCAGAGTTCTAATTTCTCTTGGGGGTCTGTCATAAAGAAAGTGAGGTCACCCCTTCAAGGTTCTATGACCTGAGCCTCTTCCTCCAATCAGAGCCTCTCAATGTCCCGTGCAAGCTGTTGAGTCCTCACCCTCCACTCTCATGTCATCTCTGTATCTGTACACTGACAGTGAACACAATCTTCTCCACAGGTCCCTGGGAACATATTAGGTCCTTGGTTTGGGGGACAAAGCTTAGTTCAGAATTCCTGTTTCTCACCAGTTTTGTGTCCTGAGGAAGCCTTTGGGCTTTCAGGGCCTCCCCAATCTCCCAGGTTTCACATTGAGGAGAAAACCATTATCTAAGGGCATCCTCAAGTATGAATGACATAATGTCTCTTAATGCCCAAGGACTGACATCCCATGAATCTGATGTTGAAAAACAGAGGTAATAGAGTTACAGGAACTCTTGGCTGCTGTAGATCAGTGGATTGAATGTACACCTGCAATCCAAAGTGTTGCTGGATCAATTCCAAGTCTATGGCACATGCATGAGTTTTGGTCCAGGTCCCCAGTAGGAGATGCTTAAGAGTCAATCACACATTGATGTTTCTCTCCCTTCTTTCCCCTTCTCTTCCCATCTCTCCAAAAATAAATGAATACAATCTTTTATCAAAGATTACAGGGACATTTGGGGCATATTGTGGAACACCAATCTGAACTGGCCCAAGGACAACCTTTTGAGCTTAGGAACACAGGGTCCAACTAAGCCTGATTTTAGGTCTCCACCTCAAGGAGATGAAATTACAAAAAGATCAGTTATTATCTTCTACATGCATAAAACCTTCCAGTAATCTTTTGTTAAACTTAAAAGCAAACCAACTGCCTCATGTTATTTTTTGTGCTAGGAACCTTCACAGTGGCTTCTAGTAAAATATCTGTTCAAATCTCTGCCCATTTTATTCATTACTTTTTCACATTTTTTACTGGTTTTCAAGTACACTTTTCTACCTTTACCCTCCCAACACTGCCCACCACCTGCACCTCCTCAACTCCTCCTGTTTACACCCCACTGTTATTTTTTGTACCTAAGTTCTTTTGATTTTAACTGTTGTTCAAGTACAGTTTTCTATCTTTTACTCCCATCCCAGCCCACGCACACAGCCCTCCCCTCTTTATTCCATATCCATCCACCCTAGTGTTTGTTCATGTGTCACAAAAATAATCTCAAGGTACATAAAAGACTGAAATATAAGCCATAACACCATTAAAATCCCCGAGAAGAACATAGGCAGGAAAATCTCAGAAAATTCACGCAGCAGGTTTTTTACTGATATGTCCCCAGGAGCAAGGGACATAGACTAATGGATAAACAAACTGGATCTCATCAAAATTAAGCACTTCTGCATGGCTGAAAAAAACAGTATTAAAATAAAAAGAGAACCAACCGTATGGGAAAACATACTTGCCAATGATATCTCAGACGAGGGTTTAATCTCCAAAATATATAAAGAACTTATACGACTCCTCACTAAGAAGACAAGCAACCCAATTAAAAAAATGGGAAAAGGACTTCAACAGACAATTCTACAAGGAGGACATACAGAGGATCCAGAGACACATGAAAAAATGCTCAATATCTCTGGCTATCAGACAGATGCAAATTACAGCCATAATGACATATCACTTCACATCCGTCAGAATGCCCATCATAAACAAAGCAATAAACAACAAGTGTCAGAGACGTTGTGGAGAAAAGGGAACCCTGGGGCACTGTTGGTGGAATTGCAGATTGGTACAACCACTGTGCAAAACAGTATGGAATTTTCGTAGAAAACTACAAATAGATTTGTCTTTTGAATCTGCAATTCCGCTGCTAGGATTACACCCTGGGAAACCAGAAACACCAATCCAAATGAACCTACACATCCTAATGTTCATAGCAGCACGATTTACAATAGCCAAGTTCTCAAAGCAACCTAGGTATCCATTAGCAAATGAGTGGATCAAACAACCATGATACCTTTCCACAATAAATTTCTATGCAACACAAAGAAAGAGCTCCTAATCCCTTGCAAAAGCATAGAGGGAACTAGAAAGCATTATGCTGAGTGAAATAAGCCAGGTGGTGAAAGACAAATATCATATGATCTCACCTCTAACAGGAAGCTAAACAACAAAACAAACAAGCAAGCAAAATAGAACCACAGTCACTGAAATAGAGAACAGGCAGACAGTGACCAGTGGGGAGAGGGGATGGAATTTCAGGGGAAAAGGGGAATAATTTAGAGGAACGAGTATAAAGGACACATGGAGAACAACTAAGGGGGGGTGGAAATGGGAAGGAGGTGGGGAACAGTGGGGAAGGTGATCTGGGGATGGGATTGAAACACAGAAAACGGTACTTGAACAACAATTTAATTTTTAAAAATGTGCCAGAAAAAGAAATAATAATAATAACCTTAAATGTAAATGGATTAAATGCTCCAATAAAAAGACATAGAATAGCTGAATGGATAAGAAAACATGACCCAAACACATGTTGCCTACAAAAGACCCACCTCAGAACAAAAGACCTACACAGACTGAAAGAGAAGGTCTGTAAACAAATATTCCAAGCAAATGAACGAGAAAAAGAAGCCAGGCTAGCAATACACATATCACACAAAGTAGACTTCAAAACAAAGGCCACAAAAAAATAACCAGAAGGACACATCATAATACTCAAGGAAAGAGTCCAATAAGAAGACATAATCATTATAAACTTATATGTACACAACGCAGGAGCACACAAATACATAAAGAAAATTGTAGAGGAATTCAAGACAGATAATAGGCAGGAACACAGTTATTCTAGGGGGTTTTAAGCCATCCCCCCTTCAAAAACTGACAGATCTTCCAAACCGAATATAACCAAAAATACTGCGGCACTGAAAAACACCCTAGATCAAATGAACCTAACTCGTGTATAGAGAATCTTTCATCCCAAAGCAGCAAAATACACATGGTTTGAAAGCACAAGGAATATTTTCAAAGATAAACCACATGATAGGACACAAAACAAGCCTCAACAAATTCAAGAAAACTGAAATCATATCAAACAACTTCTCAGACCACAAGGGACTCAAACTAGAAAACAACCTCAACAAACACATGCAAAAAACACTCAAAGACATAGAAATTCAATAGCATGCTATTAAACAATGAATGCATCAAGAAAGAGATCAAGAAGGAAATCAAAAACTTCCTCAAAACATATGTAAAGAAATTCACAACAACCCAAAATGCATGCGACATTGCAAAGGCAGTCCTGAGAGGGAAGTTAACAGGTATACAGGACTATCTGGAAAAAAAAAAGAAAAGAAACTTTTTTTTTTAAATAAATTTTGTTTAGTTATTTTTCAAGTACATTTTTTTTTATCTTTTCTCCCATCCCACCCCCACCGCCCCGTCTCCCCCCTCCCTCCCATTTCCCCCTCTCAGTCCTCATCCCTGTGTCTTTCATACTTGTTCCTCAAAATCCCTCCCCCTTTTTCCCCTTAAATTCCCTTCCCTCTCCCCTATGGTCGCTGCCCACTTGTTCTCTATTTCAGTGTCTTTGTTTTTATTCTGTTTGCTTGTTTGTTTTATTCTTTAGCTTCCTGTCAAAGGTGAGATCATATGGTATTTGTCCTTCGATGCCTGGCCTATTTCACTCAGCATAATGCTTTCCAGTTCCATCCATGTTGTTGTAAAGGGTAGTAGCTCCCTCTTTCTCTCCGCTGCATAGAATTCCATTGTGTATATGTACCACAATTTTTTGATCCATGCGTTTACCTATGGGCACCTAGGTTGCTTCCAACTCTTGGCTATTGTAAACGGTGCTGCTGTGAACATTGTGGTGCATAGGTTCTTTGAAATTGATGTTTTAGGATTCTTGGCATATAATCCTAGCAGTGGAATTGCGTTAAACACATATACTGAGAAGTGGGATGGCAGAGGAGTGAATGGGAATCACACTGATGTCCTCTCAGAACCAATATGGAAATTCAACTCAATTTGGAGTAATCACCTGGAACAAAAAACTGAGCAAGAGCAAGAGAGAAGCATATGATGTCACACATACAGCAGGAGCTTTGGCAAAACCTTTCTGATAAGGAGGTGGGTACAGAGTCAAGAGTGCTGTTTGGATGCTGCCTGGCAGCAGCATCAGGAAGATAATTAAGCAGCTTGTAAGGTGGATAAAAGACTTAAATGTAAGTTGTGACACCATTAAAGTCCTGGAGGAGAACATTGGCAAGAAAATCTCAGATATTTCACACAGCAACTTCTTTACTGATATGTCCCCTAGAGCAAGGAATGTAAAGGAAAGAATAAACAAATGGGATCTCATC